CCCCCCCCCCCCAACCCGGTCCCATCCTAAAGAGCCCTTCTGGCTCGCTGCCTCACAGGCGGCCGGGCGACTTGGGAGCTAACTCTAGAATGGATCCTCGCGGACCAGGCCAACTTCGCACCGGCAGAGCCCCTGCTGGGGCGCTGGGAGTCGGCCCCGGGGTGTTCCCGGGCCTGGGGCGCCGGACTTCCTCCGGGGTCTGTGCGTGGAGCCGCGGAGGCACTCCAGGGCAGCTGCGCCGCGGCCTGAGCCCCGGCCACCCGCCCACAGGTGGTTGCAGCCCGCCGCCTCCGGCAGAGAGCTAGGCTGGCGCTGCTGTCCCCGCCTGGGTGTCTGGCTACCAATGTGTCTTTCTAGCCGAAGGGGCCAGATCTGATCAAATCAAATCCGCACATTAGTGGGGCGCCTGCTGTGCACCCGGCGCTGCGGCAGACGGTGCCTTTGGGAATCTTTGGGTGTGACCGAGGACACAGCAACGATTGAGCTTTAGATGAATGTTACAGAGCATCTCGAGGGTTTCAGGGGAAAAAAATAACATACCGGGACTTCGAAAGAAAGCATTTAGGCCTCCTCGGGTGGGGGAAATTGGACGTCATGAGAGAACTGGGAATATTGTGAGGGTTTTAGATGGGAAAATGAGAGCCTGCCTGGCTTGGGGTTTAACGTTTCCTTGTGTAGGTTTAATTTTGAGACAGTATCAGTTTATGGCCATTTTATTTTTGTGGTTCCTGGTGCTCTCCATAGGATATCATTTTGTTACGATAATACCCTTTGGGGCCTTTTTATTCATGGAAAAGGAGCCAACATTCCAGTGCTTAGAGCAGTTGTCTTTACAGTAGTATTAAAATGTTACTGCTTCCCCAAGACGGGTCTCTCCAGCTTTTATTCAGCTGGGAGAGGAGGCCTGAAGGGGCCGGGAGGGGCGGTTGGGGGCCAGTCAGTGGTGAGGTGAGTGTGTTGCTTCTGGAGCAGGCAGCTGGTGTGTGGAGAGGATGTGGCGTATTCTGCATCTCGGATCTGGGAAAGGAATGCTCTGGTTTGGAACTTTGACAACGCTCATTGCTGATGGTTTTCTTGTCTGTTCCCTGGGGATGATTGGTTTATAAAATGTAATGCTTCTGTCAGGTTTGTGTGACAGGCTTAAGCGGTGTTTCTGGGATGAAAAATGCAAACCCAGTAAGATGCACGCATAGTGAATAGACCCAAACAGGTACCCAAATGAACAGGTTGGGACGGGAATGCTGACTTAACCACAGCTGGTGGAACCCTGGCCCAGTGTGAGGGGAGGGGGATTTTGCATCCTAAGAGGTTTCTTCACTTTATTAAAGGCTACTTGACAAAAGAATTCACCAGGTTTTCTTATAATGGCAGATTTTTTGATGCTTTAAGATGTTATTTAGTGAACTCCCAATTTTATTTATACAGACACGCATATGTATATATATCCCGTCCAAAGGCAAATCCAGAGCAAATGCTGGCTTTTGTCATGTGAGCCCTTGCTTGGAGAGGAAAGATGGAGAAGAATAAACAGTGAGCATGGCTCATCAATTTAAAGATTTATTAGGCATTAGAACTGCATCGCACAGTCTCCTGTGCTCATCTTCCCAGATCAGAGTCTTAGTTCCTGTATTTAACTCTCAGAGTTACAAGGTGAGCTCCAGGCGGCCAGCTCCCCATGAATCTGTAGCATGCGTGCGCCTTCTCAGCCCGTTTCACCAAGCTCACTTTTTATGCTGTCCTTTTTGGCATTTAGTCCCACTGGTCATTATTCTCGTCTCCTGCGTTCCTGGATTTTTACCGCTTCCTGGGCCCCGGGGTTGCTTTGCTGCATGGCGCACAGGATTTACCTTTGACCGCCATCTCCCTAAGCTGGATTGTCTGTCTCCAGTCACTTGCACGGGCACAAAGCACACTTGCCAGGCTAACTATAACTCTTTTGTAATTAAAACCCTCTGGTAGTGGTAGCGTCAAGAATTAGTCGCTCAGTATACTAACAGTGGTTGTGCATTGTCATAAGCCGCTTTATTAGCCCTAGTCAGGATGCCTGTGTTCCAGAATTGCCTCGAACACAACACCCTTACTGTGATCGTGCTGGGGCACCTCGGTTTTCAGTTGTCACCATTTATTGGGCATCTCTGTGTGCCAAATGCTGGGCTGTGGACCCAAAGGTGAATGAGAGGTGGCCCGAGGCTCTTGGGAAACACATGTAGCAGAGTGTCTTTTTATTGTTAAGTGATGCTGAGTGATACGACAGGCTCACCGGACAGGGTGCTGGTGGATGAATTGGGAGGACTTCCCAGAGACTTTGACACTTGAGGCTCTAGGATGTCAAATCCAGTGTCCCTTGTGCATTAAAAAAAATTTTTTTTTTTAATTTATTTTTTGGCCACACTGAGTGGCTTGTAGGATCTTAGTTCCCCGGCCAGGGATCGAACCTGGGTTTGAATCCGGGTCCACGGCAGTGAAAGCCTGAGTCCTAACCATTGGACCAGCAGGGAATTCCCCATTTTTAGATTACCTGTTGTGTCAGGGCCACTTCTCGGTCAAGCCATGACCCAGCTGTTATGTATAACAAAGGAGGAAGCAAATGACAGGGCCTGGGGCCCCTCCCCCAGGTGGTGGCCTTGTCCCCTGGCATGCCTGAGTGTTCTTAACCTTTGCTGTGGATAGTCAGGATCTTTTTTTAAAAAAAAATCCATCGGTACTGTGCAGTCTGGAGTGGGCTTGCTGTCCAAACCCAGCTTCCACCCTGCAGACCAGAGTGCCACCCTGAGCCACTCCTCTTCAGAAACCCTGGAGCTGCCTTGGAAGGTGCCCCCGTGTCCGTAGCCCAGCCCTGCCCTGCCCTCAGGTGTGGTCAGGTCAGAGCAGGCAGGACTCCCTCGGCCTGCCTGAGACTCTCCCCTTCTATTAATGCAGCTGAAGATCCCATCAGTGTGCTTGGCACCGGTACTCACTGTTGACTCATATTAGTTCTCTGTTGACTAAAGCCCTGGCATTGCTTTTGCTCGCGCGGCTGTTGCTCAGCCCCGTCGCCCCCCTCCCCTGCATGCGCAGTCTTCCAGCAGCTCTGTGTGGAAAGCCGGGAGGGTGTGTGGCTGGCTGGTTAGCACCCCCCGCCCCCATGCCTTGGAGGGCACGGCCCATTGGCCGGTATTGCATTTGGTGCAGTTGCTTTCACTGTCCCTGGAGCTCCTCAGTGACTTGTATGGTACAGGGCAAGCACCGAGAATTTCAGGGCAGGAAGATGCATGTTTGAGTCTTGGCAGCTGGGCTGTGCAGCCCTGGGCTACTTGAATCTCGATTTTCTGGTCTTTAAAATGGGATGATTACATGACAAAAAGGATATGAAAAGCCTCAGGAAACAGCAGGGTGCTGAAGGGTTGCTAGTAGGTTGTAATCTTACACACATCTCAGTGCCTCCTCTTTGGCCTGTGAAAACTGATTGGGAAGTTTTCTAGAAATGAACATTAAAGGAAAAAAAAAAGGCTGGGAATTCCCTGGTGGTCCAGTGGTTAGGACTCCGTGTTTTTACTGCCAAGGGCCCCAGTTCGATCTCTGGTCGGGGAGCTAAGATCCCACAACATGTGCGGTGTGCCACCCCCCCCCCCCAAA